AAGCACATTTTTGTGATTAGATTTGGTTTTAAAACAGTTTTGACTCGTGCATCCTATCAGAACATGTGGTTTTGATATTGAAATGCCACATTTCAGTTGATAAAAAGCCCCAAAATACCGCTAACATGTGACTACGAGGTGATTTTTTTCTTTAAAGACGGCAAATTCAGAATTAATTCAAGGGGCGGCTTCTGTGTAAGATGAAATGTGAGAGTAGAAAAAGTATTAAAGGTGTAATAACCTCAGAAATACGTAAAAATAAGTGATAATTGTTTAATATCAAGACTGACGAAAGCACATTTTTGTGATTAGATTTGGTGTTTGGACTCATGCACCCTCCAGAACGTGCAGATTTCATGACACAGTGACACATTTTAGTGGATAAATCTTTAAATTAGGAATACTTTGTACTATTAGAAACCTTGTGCAATAAATATTTATCTGCATGTACTCGTCGTTATCATGGAGTTCATTAAAGAGTCTGTGCAGCACCACTGATTTGTGTAATTATGTCATCTCTAGAAGTTATACTTGTGTATTTTTGGGTTTATTTTTTGTGCAAATGTCCCCACTGTGGGATTAATAGACGCTTATGAAGAACCTCAGAGTAACACTACAGCTCCAGTCAGAGGTGAAGCTGAGGTGACATTCAGGCAAATACAGAGGGGCAGAGAACAGCCTCAGAAATATGTAAAGATAACGTCGTCAAACTCTTCTGCGAGTCTTCCTGCAGACAACAAAGAAACTGAACTTGACCTGAAAGTCCAACGTGACCTTTCACTCGCCCCGAAGTCCCAAAAAAAATTCCCCGCATAGTCCGCGAGTCGCACGGCGGCAAAATAACCTGCCTCCTAAACAATCGCAACAATCCTGCAGCAACTTTCAAACGTCTCTCCTCCCTCCCTCCTCCCCTCCTCCCGGTTCAACTGCTCCATCATAAAATGGGTCACCCAGTCTTCGCCTCGCAATTAATTCATGTGATCTCCGACTTGAATGGAAGCGGGTAGCAGCTGCGGTGAGAAAAAGCCTCGCGCAGAGAGAAGGATGTAATATGTCCGGAGGATTTTAATTGGGCTGCCTTTCATACAGATAAAGTAATGAGTGATACGGCGGTAATGCAGCTCTGCTATCAGTAACCTCGTGTCCCCGCAGAGGGATATTTACATGCTAATGCATCATGGATGAGAATATCCGAAGCACGTGACCGACCAGCGCCGGAGTATTCAGAACTTCACAAGAGGCGGCTTTACGCTCCTTCTTCTTCTTCTTCTTCTTCTTCTCTCCCGGTTTGTAGCTGCGGTGCTTCCGACAAAAACTGAACCCACATCATGTGTTTGGCACAAATGGAAATGTGACTGTTTCACATTTAACGCGCTAAACGCGGCGGCGCCGACAGGCCCGATGGCGCTCTTTTGTCAGCAGCCGCATAACTTATTGATGACAGGTTACATGACAAGAGACGGGGCAAACGGCTCCTATAGCCAACTGACAATAACCCAGAGAGCCTCATAAACCCCCTGGGGGCCTCAAAGGT